TAGCAGTGAATACTCATATTAGGAAAACAGAATGAGCTCAATTACACAACCTGATGCTGAACCTCAAACTTGTAGAAAAAGAAGAGCAGGCCAAACACAAAGCTCATACAAGGAAGGTAAAAATTATAAAGCTCAGGGCAGACATTAATGCAATGGAGACTAAGAGAACAATATGAAAAAAATCAATGAAGCCAAGAGTTGGTTCTCTGAAGCTATAAACAAAATAGACAAACCCTTAGCCAACCTTATCTAAAAAAGGAAAGAAAATGGGCCAGGGATTTAGCTCAGTGGTTCTGCTGCCTGCCTTACAAGTGCAAGGTCCCAAGTTCCATCCCTGGTACTGGGGGAAAAAAAGAAAAGGCCCAAATCTATACAATTAGGAATGAAAAGCGTAAAATTACAATGGACCCAACAGAAATCCAGAGAATCATCAAAACCTACTTCAAGAACCTATATGCCAATAAAATGGAAAATACAGAAGAAATGAACAGATTCCTAGATTTCTATGAATTAACAATGTTGAACGAAGATGACCTAAAAATTCTAAACAACCTAATTTCAATCAATGAAATTCAAAATGCAATGAAAAACTTAACAACTAAAAAAATCCCAGGCCTTTATGTCTTCACTGCTGAATTCTACAAGACATTTAGAGAGGAACTACTTCCACTCCTGTTTAAACTCTACAGTGAAATTGAAAGGGAAGCAATACTTCTGAATTCATTCCTAGAAGCAAGCATCACCTTGATCCCCAAAGCAGAGAAAGACCCAAATGAAAAAGAGAACTGTCAGCCAATCTCACTAATGGACATAGATACAAAAATCTTTACTAATAAGACACTTGCAAATAGAATTCAGGAGATCATTAAGAAGATCATACACCCTTACCAAGTGGGATCCATCCCAGGGGTGGTTGAACATACACAAATCAATAAATGCAATACACTATATTAATAGAGCCAAGGACAAAAACCATATGATCATCTCAGTAGATGCAGAAAAAGCATTTGACAAAATCCAACCCACATTTATGATTTTAAAAAACCCTCCAAAAAATTGGAATTTATGGTCTCTACCTCAATCTGATAAAAGCCATCTGTAAAAAACCAATAGCCAATATCATACTAAATGGTCAAAAACTGAAATCCCTCACACTAAAATCAGGAACAAGACAAGGATGTCCACTATCACCACTCCTGTTGAATATAGTTTTGGAAACATTAGCCACAACAATTAGACAGAGAAAGAAATAAAAGGAATAAAGGTAGGAAATGAAGAAATCAAATTGTCATTATTTGCAGATAACATGATACTCTATTTAGAAGACCCCAAGAACTCCACCAAAAGTCTTCTAGACTTAATAGAGATTCCGCAAAGTAGCAGGATACAAGGCTAACACACAAAAATGAATAGCTTTTCTGTACATGAAAAACAGACTCACTGAGAGAGAAGTAAGACAAACAAACCCTTTCACAATAGCATTCAAAAAATTGAAATACCTAGGAATCCACCTAATGAAAGAAATCAAAGACCACTACTCTGAAAATTATAACACTCTGAAAAAAAAGAGATTGAAGGGGCTGGGGATTTAGCTCAGCGGTTTGGTGGCCTGCCTTGCAAGCGCAAGGACCGGAGTTCAATCTCAGGTACCACAAAAAAAAAAAAAAAGAGAGAGATTTAAGAGGACATCAGAAAATGGAAAGACATCCCTTGTTCCTGGGTAGGAAGAATCAACATAGTGAAAATGACCATACTTCCAAAACTGCTATATAGATTCAGTGCAATCCCTATTGAAATCCCAAGAGCATACTCCACAGGCCTTGAGAAAACAATCCAAAAATTAATTTGAAACAAGAGCAGACCTAGAATAGCAAAAACAATTCTAGACAATAAAGACAAGGTAGGGGGTATCACAATCCCCAACTGGAAACTATAGTACAAAGCTACTGTGATAAAAAAAGCAGGGTATTGGCAAACAAGCAGACCTAAGGACCACTGGAACAAATTAGAAAATACAGGGGTCAGGGATTTAGCTCAGCGATTCAGTGGACTGCCTTGCAAGTGCAAGGACCCAAGTTCAATCCCCGGTACCACAAAAAAAAAAAAAAAAAAAAAAGAAGAAGAAGACGCAGGAACAACTCCAGACACACTCAGCCACCTCATCTTTGACAAAGGAGCAAAACACCCTCACTGGAGGAAAGATAGCCTCTTTAATAAATGGTGCTGGAAAAACTAGGTTTCAGCTTGCCAAAGATTAAAACTAGACTTATATCTCTCACCATGCACTAAACTAAAATCCAAGTGGATTAGATCTAAACATTAAAACAGAAACACTAAACCAGCTGGACAAGAGGTTAGGTGGAACTCTTAAAGACATCGGTATAGGAAAAGATTTTATAAGCAAAACCTCAGTTGCCCTTGAACTAGCACAAACAATCAACAAGTGGGATGTCTTCTTATTAAAAAGCTTCTCTACAGCAAGAGAAACACCCAATAGTGTGAAGAGACAACCCACAATATGGGAAAAACTTTTCACCAGCTGTTCCTCAGACAAAGGTCTACTATCTAGAATATATAAAGAACTTAAAAAAATCATACCTCCCCATTTTAAAGACCCAATCCAAAAATGGGCATCTGAAATGAACAGACATTTCTCAAAGAAGTAGTAACAGCAAATAAATATATGGAAAAAATGTTCAGCATCACTGGTCAGTCGAGAGATGCAAATGAAAACAACACTGAGATTTTGCACCTCACCCCAGAAACAATGGCTGCTATCATGAAATCAACCAATGACGAATACTGGCAGGGCTGTGGGGAAAGAGGAACCCTGCTTCACTGCTGGTGGGAGTGCAGACTGGTGCAACCACTGTGTAAATCAGTATGGAGATACCTCAAAGAACTAGGATTGGACCCTGCTATCCCCCTGCTGATCCTCCTATTCTCCAATTGACTCTGCTATCCTTTTGTTGGGTATCTTTCGAAAGAATGAAAAGAATCATACCACAATGTATATGTGCACCCATGTTCATAGCAGCACAATTTGTGGTAGCTAAAACTTGGAAGTAGCCCAACTGCCCATCAATAGGAGACTGGATAAAGAAAATGTATTTTTTTCTAAAATAAAATGGAGTACTACTCAGCCATAAAGAATGAGAAACTAGAAACATTTATAGCTAAATGAATGCACAATGAAGCCAGTACTCTTAAGTGAAATAAATAGGACACACATATAAACACAGAATACTTTCTCTAGTGTGAGAAACTGAAAGTGTAAATAAGGACTACAAGGACTGCAATAGGAAGAAAAGGTGTAAAGCAGAAGGCGAAATGGGAGGAGTAGGGGGAAAGAAAGATGGAATGGAATTAACATGAGAAAAAGAAAAAATGGAAACAAAGTCTTTGTGGATAGGGAGAGCTGGCAGGGTTGAAGGGAGGGCAAGGGGATGGAAAAAAAAATAAGAACCAAGATGGACTATGTAAAGGTGCAAACTTCCAAGGATGAACGTCACTACGTTGTATTCCTTAAATGTACCAATAAAATTAATTTTTATAAAAAAGGAAAACCAAAGCTGTGGCCAACAGTGAGAAACTGGCTGAGTGCTTGCAGTAGCCTTGCTATTCTCCTGGTAGAGAAAAGTCATCTCACAGAGCATACTCAGACCAGAACACTAAGCCCATGACAAATGAAGTAAAGCAGAGCTACTACACAACCTCCTCAAAGCAAAGTCAGAAGCATGGTCACTGCCTTCCTAAAATTCCAAGCACTGCCTTTCCCCCTAACATGAATGGCTACTGATTTACCAATTCTTTTCATCTATTCATTCATACAAGTGTCCCTCTCTCTGAAAGAATCTAACATAGAGTGAAGTCTTCCCCAGGTCACCTGTCCAAGCCCAGATTCTAAAATAGGTTCTTTCTCATGCTCTCTTACTGAGACACTGTGCAGTTGCCCAGTGTGTGTGCTGTCCTTTGACACAACAAGCAAAATCCCAACTTGTTTAATTACAAGTACTCGTTTACCCAGGGGACTTTGGCCAAAGCACATGCACAACATCTTCCTTAGCCCTTAGGCACTCTCGGGTACTTGTCATCAGTGTTGGACATCAGGGGACACTGAGGTGACTACATAACTTTCCCAAGATCCTGGCCATAGTCAGTGGCAGAACGCAAAAGCCCAGGCTTGTGAATGTCACAATTTCATTCTGATATGATCGTGAACACCCTGAGTAGGATCCAGATGATGGCAGAGCAAGAAAACTGTCCAGAAACCACAGGTAGCTTGGAGGGGGAAAGAGGACTCCTCAGCAGAAAAGACGTAGGGTAAATACTAGAAAGGGAGACTAATTCTCCCACTGATACAAGGATTGCTTTCAATTAAAAAAATATAAAGAAGACAAAGAGGAAAACATTTCGATTTTGGAAAACTTCAAGGAACTTAGAGTGGATTGAAAAGAGACGGTGTATCCTAAAACTCCATTCCTCCTGACTTGATTCAGAGAGAGGTCTGGCGAACTGCACAGACATTGGTAATGAAGATACGGAGGCATCATGGCCAGAGCTGCCCTTTCAGTGACCAGAAACATTTGCTCCTATACACAAAGAAGAACGACCATTTCTTTTTTACATTTCCAATTTACCTTGATTGAATAATATATAATTTTGTTTTATCATTTTTCAGGCATAAAGAGGATAACTGGCAAGTGAACATTTAGTGGGGAAAATATATAGCTTGCACAATTTAAAAATAAAATCTAACAGTTTGCATGTTTAGCACCTTTCATGCAAGAATCTGAGTGTTTTATAAAAATGATTTCTGCGTCCTTCCCTTCCCCCACCACTCTAAAGACGCTTCATCTCACAACTGGAAGAAAAAGCCACAGCCCCACGACCAGCCCCACATTCCCGGGGGAAGTGGGTGCAGCCTGAGTGGAAGGGAGCGCGGGGCATCTTGGGAACAGGAGCGCCGTCACCACGTGCATTTGCCCGCTTCCGGCGGAATAAAACTCCTCCCGACCTGCTCTGTTCCATGTGCCCCCTCTGCCACTTTAACACCTTTGTCCCTTTCCTTGAAGGTGTCACATCTTCTGTCCCCAGACTCAGGAAGTCGGTCCTTGTTTTACCTGAATCCTCTGAATAGACTTCAGGGAAAGGAGAAGGTCAAGGGAAAAGGTAAGCTTTGAAAATCACGTCCTTGAAGGAGATGTGTACAAGGTAATCAGACCTTTACAGACCCCCGGACTCCATCTTAGCTAAGCTCACAGGGAATTCATTCAGTTAAAAGTAAATAAATATTGCCGAGTTTTATTTATCCAGGTAGGAATGTTCTAGGGGTACAGCAGTGCATCCCTGTCTTCATAGGGTGTGTGTATCCAAGCCAGGGGGAAGTCGATTTAAAAAATTAAAAACTGTACAGTACATTAAAATGAGCCAAAGAAATGAGCTAAATGGAAAGAAATGAAGCCGAGAGAGAGGATTCCGGACCAAAGAGGTTAGATTTTTAACTGCCATGATCAAGAATGGCTCCACTGAGGTAATTTTTGAGTGAAGATCTGAAGGAAGTGGGCGATGGAGTTCTAAGCATCTGGGAAAGGAATATTGACATAGAAAGAATGGTGGAATGAGAGGGGCCAAGGTGGAGACGAGAGGGAAACAGGAGATAGGAGTTAGCAGTCCAGGTAGGGCCTCCTGGGTCACACATATAAGGACCTTGGTTTTTCTTCTGCCTCAGATGCAGAGCTTTTGGAATCTTTGCAAACAAGAGTAGCATATCATCTTCAAATCTGAAGGAGGCTCCATGGAGTTTTAAGTGATCTCCGTGGTGTTTTTGAATAAAGGGAAGCAAAAATAGAGAAGAGAGAAAAAATTTCATTGTCACCACCTCTGTAAAAAAAATGTTAGTGTTTTGGGTTACAGAAGTGAAAGTAGAAAAAGTATTAGGACTCCCAACATGTTTTGACTAAAAGAGCCAATCATGTTTGTTGATAGATTTGATGTGACAAATGAGAGAGAGAGAGAGGTTGAAGATGACACCCAGTCTTTGGGCCTGAAAAACAGGAAAGTTGAAGCTAACTTCAACCAATCTAGGAGAGACTGACAGTGCAGCCAGTTTGGAAGCAAAGATTAGCAGCCCACTATAGGGGACGTTCAGTCTAAGGCATCCGTGAGATTCTCAGGGGAGACTTCCGGAAGCAGCTGGACATACAAGTCTGGAGTTCATGGAGAGGTCACAGCCAGATAGAAATTTAGGAGCTGACAGCACAGTGACTGTATTTACAGCCACAAAACTCAGTGAGAGTCCAAAAGGAGCCAGTGTAGGTGACAAAAAGAAAAGGACTTTGTCCATCAGACCCTGAAGAGAGGAAGATGAGCCTGCAGAGGAAACAGGAGGACCTATCCATTAAGTGGAGAAAAGACTGGGGACGTAGAGCACCCTGGAAACCAAGCGAAGCAGCAAATTCAAGAACCAAGTGATCGCTGAAGCTCAGGCTTCGGATCAGCACCAAACATCTATTAATAGGTTTAACAGTCTGACATCACTGATGACTTTGAGGAAAAGAGTTTTTGTGATGAGGACTTTTGGGGCAGAAATGACCGTATACTGTGTGCCGATGAGAATAATCCAGAAAAAGGAGAAATCGATGACAGGATAAAGAGAATTGATGGTGCAATGTCCTTGGATAGCGCGAAAGGTGTGGAATCACGACGCATGCAGAGTGGCTGCCCCATACGCGATAACGGGAAGGGAGAACAGAAGAGCATAGGTGTTTGGAGACAGGTAAATGTGGTGGTGGTGGTAAGTTATCTTTTGATTGCTTCTGTGTTCCTAGTAAAAAGAGAAAGCAAAGTCTCCATTGACATAGAGGTACTGGGAGTATGAAAGAAAGGAAGAGGTCTGACATAGCTGTCTACAGCAGCCGGGTAAAGGGATGCAGAAAAAATAGCATGATTCCTGGAAAGGGTCGGTATTTACACAAGGTTTTCAGACATACATTTACCTGGTACACAACTCATTATGTTCATGTGTGCATCCAGCCACATGCAGTGCAGAAGGACTGACATACAGCAGCCAGAAAAGCGGATTTAACACATGCAGGGGTGTTGCCGAGTGAAAGCGAGGGTGAAAGAGGGACAGAGCACTGAGGGCAGAGGCCCATTGCTGAATATGACTGGCTGTGGCGATGGAGTCGGGGAAGGTAGTGGGTCAATGAGGTGCAGGAGCAAGCAGGATATGCAGGGCAGGAGGGGGGAGAGTGGGAGGATCCGCGGATTGCCCGTCCCACAAAGTGCAAGGAGTGATGTCATGAGGCCAGTAGAAGAATTAGGAAGCGGTGGTCAGAGGATGGGACGCTTGAACTCCGAATTACAGGCAGGTAGCACAAAGTCTAGGCGCTAGTCCGGGGGACAACCATGGCAGCAAGTGGCTGAGGTAGAGGAGAGGAGTGGCGCTGAATGAGACACTGGAAAAGGACTTGGAGGAACTGAGCGACCAGGATGTTGGATGTCCATCTAGATAGGCAAATGAGACCCGAAAGAAAGAAGAGGAAGACCGTGAGCCAGGAGCTAAAGCTAACAAGCTGACAGGAGTGACCCAGAGGTCCACAGAAGACTCTGGCAGAGAGGGCGGGGGGTAGGATCGTCTGTGACAAGGGATCAAATCTGTGGGGTGTTGGGGGAGGGAGGGAGAAGCAATGGTCTAAAAAGAAAAGGGTGAACTAGGAAGACTCCCAACTGTACCTCCAGACCCAGAAGTACCGGAAGTGAGCAGGGCAGAAGCCACCACTGGAGAGGGTGGCAGGGGGAGCAGTGTCTCAGGCTTCAGTTAGCCTCTACAAGTGCACATCCCTGCACACGTGTGTGCACCAGACCCACAGTACAGGCACACGCTCATGCAGACAACCACATTTATACAAATATGTGCATATATATTACATGCACACACCTCATACACGCTTTCATGTGTACAAACACACCTATACACACCCACACACTCACAAAGAGACACATACAGCTGAGTGTATAGTTAAGTGGGTGCACATTATAGTATGTGAAATATACCCCACTAAACATAGAAAACAGGGCTCTTTGAGAAGAAATTGGACCCATGGCAGAAGAGGAAGAAGAGGCTATTAAGAAAAACTTCTTTGGTAAAGTATCTGATGAAGGCGTATCAAAATGAAAACTTCATATGTTTTGATCTTTCCATTTTTCAAATTCACAGGGATCTTTTTTCCCACACTCATGCCTTTCTTCATACTCTTGGAATATCTACCCTAAGTTTCCTGCAAGATTGTAAGGTCCCCGAGGATTGTGGCATCTCTTCATTGGACATTGGCTGTAGGCTCCATGCCAACTCAGAGCCCCCCCCCTAATGATTTCCTTAAATCGTGAAGGAATTGATTAATCTCTTAAGTGAAGGAAGTGATGAAATGACTCAAATATTGATCACTTCAAAGTATTAAATAATGCCTTATCAACGTATTTTCAAAAGAGACAGGAGCCAAATGTTGTCTTTATTCATATGAAAATTAAGCATTACTGAGACTATTTTATTAGTTATTATCATTAACTAATGATCACTTCTGAGACTGAGGCTGAGACAGAAATGATCCAGATAAATACTTTAAAAAAATATGTCCAACATGCAACTTTTAGAATTATATGGTAAAAAAACTCTAGTACATAATTGCCACAAAAGCTATTTAAAGCAGAAATATGAGATTAAAAATGCCAAAGGTGTAAACAACTTTAATCTGTTAATGTATTACACATGTCTCTCAGAGCCAAGTTTTATTTTAAGATTAGATCATGGATATTTTCACTGTTTCTGCAAATGAAACTAAAATTTTCTAAACTCAAGTGCTATGCATTTTTCATCTTTTACATGTCACTTCATCTCCTTTGAAACCAAGTTGATTTCTATAATTTAAGCATGGTGAATATCTACATGTATGTCCTTTTTTAAAGGCATTCTTTTAAAGTCTTAAGGCAGAATGACAATACTTATCCATGCCTGCATCCTATCAACACACCACTGTAGGAACAGACTGGCTGTAGAAATGAGTTATTGTTTTATTATCAGAACAGCAAATATGGCTTTAACTAATAAAGATGATTGAGGAATCACTTGCTGAAGAAAACCGTCCATCCAACCCCACATGAGGTGGGTGTGAACGCATATTACCGACCCTGTGTTACACACCAGACCCAATCGCCTTACAACCCAGAGACTCCCTTGGTTTCCAGACCTATCTAATTCTGATCACTGACTTGATCCCCTGGCTATATGAAGGAGCGATCACAACAAAAATGGAGGTAGGGTCAGGGATGATTCACTGCCACAGGGAAGTGGCTTTTGAATAGTTCCATGTTCTCAAACTTTCCAACGTAGCTCTGCTGCCTCTATTCCTGGGAAACACCGTTCTCCAGTTACACCACCGTGAAATGTGACCTTTCCCTCCAGCTGGCACTTAGGTTTAGCCATAATCATTTAAAAAGTACAGGTGTGCTGGCGGTTCAAGCTAGCACAACGGTGGCAGGGTGTGAGACGTGGTGGACAGGAAAGGGTAATTTACAGGAACGCTTGCACAAAATTGGATCCTTAATATAATCTTAATAATGGGAGCTCTTTTGGCCAAATATCTGGCCTCCTGCCCCCCTGCATAATATTATGATTGCCTGGGAGCTTATATAAAACTGAATTGGAGTTTCATGGCACAGAGTACAAGTATTTTCTACAGATCTGAGTTGTTTGAGTTTGACTGCGTCTGGTCTCCTGCAGCGTGGAGTTCCCCCAAAACAAAGAGGTATGGACCAGGTGACTCTTAAGTCGGGGAAAGCTTTGAATTGTCCCGGTGACTAGAAAGGGTAGAAAAAGACCAGAGGTAAGAAAGGGGAGGCAGCTTTTGGTTCTACATATGGCAGAACTTGATCAGGGCTGCTACAAAGAGCAATGGACTTATTCAGAGAAGCTTTCCTTCCCAGGGTTGTTCAAGAAGCAGCGAGTTGTCTGTTCAGACATGTTGGCCAGATAACCTCAAAGATTCTTCAAACTCTAAGGTTCTATCTCAGATCCACAGGCAAGTACTCTAGTGTTGTTGGCTTCTGTCCAGTTCTCCGACTTTGCTCAATCTTTTCCATCATCTCGGAGCCCCTGTTCTTACTGTGTCCTTGTACCTCCACCCTCTTCTTTCAAATATGAGCTCAGGTGCATGTCAATTCCTTCGCTTCCGTGCCTTTTCCCAGTCTTCACTGCCCCAGCAGTTAGGAGTATGGGCGCTTTTCTCCCAGGCTGTTGTGGCCCTCTGCACCTCTCCTCTCATGGTCCTTTCTCCATGTTGGCTGTGAACTCCATATGGTGGGGAACAGCACGTCTTTGTCATGATGAAGTGTCCATCAGCAGCACACAGCTTGCCACCTAGAAAGTTCTCAATGAACGCATGCTAAATGGATTACCCATTAATGAAAATCCCCCAGAAATCCACTGCAATTTGAAGTAGTTTAACCAGTGACAGCTGACTTTACTTCATGAGTCTCAGGTCTATTTTCCACCGAACACTTGCTCACACAGGAGGACGCCATTACCGTTCCCATTTGGCAGGAAAATCTGCATGCTGTTTTATCAGAAAGAGATTCTTAGGGATGGAGCAGTTAATTGATACTTGTCAAGGCAGCACCTCCAAAACAGGCCACTAGATAGGGGAGTCATTTCACACTCAAACTGTCATTCAGCCACCACTTGTATGACTTAGATTTCATTTGGAATCATGGGGAACTGAACTTTAATAGAGTCCTGATGATTCCAGTCTCAAAAGAAAACTTGCTAGGTTCATTCCCCTAAGGAAACCCAAGGAGCTCCCAAATTTTCAGTTTTAAAACATTCAGAGAGGCTGTAATGTGCAAGACACCTTGCTTAGCTGCTTCCTGAAGCTATCTGCCAGGTAAAAGGCAGAATCTCTGTGAGTGTGCAGATATCAATCTAGGATTCTTAATTAAAAGAACATAATTTCAACCACATGCCCCCATGATATGAAATGCAGCCATGCACCTTACTGATGTGAGGGGCTCACACTCAAGTTTAATTAGTGATTCAGTGACAGAGCTACAATTTCCTCATTTCCCATACTCTCCTTACTTTTAAGCTATCACCGCTTTGTGACTGTCACATGAAAACTACCTTAGTCATTTGAAACCCGGCGAGTAGAGGTTGTTAGTAAGAAAAGTCAGATGATCCAGGCTTGGGACCTTATCTACTGCTTCATGGCTCAAGACCTGACCCGACCACAGTGAAGACTGCAACCAGCTGCCCTCTGTCTTCCCAAGTCCAACAGACCTGAGATTTGTTCTCTTCCCAGTCCTCCTGGTCAACCATTATGCTCACTTCTTCATCCTTTGCCTCTTCGGGTCCTCCTTGACTGCTGCTTACCCACGTCCTGTTTCTCCAACTTTAACATATGTAGGAATCATCTGACGATTTTGCAAACTGCAGTTTCTAATTCAGTCAGTCAGAGTGAGTCCTGTGACACAGCTCTTCTAAAACCTTCCAGAGACCGCTGCTGCTGATGGTCCCTGGACTCCCCTGCACAGGGTAGTGAGGACTCGGGCTAGAATCCAACCTAGCATCCATTCACCTCAGCAGCTTCGGTACACCTGCAAACTCCTGAAAGATGAAGCAAATGTTTATGCGTGTGGAATTTTTTCAGGACAGGCCTATAACAACCTCAAAAGTCCTGAGGAAACAACTGGCTAGGGATGACAAAGTTCTCCCTTTGCCCAGGCCCTTCTGTCCCTCTTCACTCACACCGGCTGCTCCCACAGCATCCATCCATCAGTCTTGCCACCAATTGGTTTTCTGCACCAACCACACTTCCATTATTCAAGGTGCGTAGTAAGCTGAACATACTCATGTTGAGGGGCTCCAGAAGAAAAACAAAAAATGAAGTTTGAGATTAATGACTCAGAGATGGAAGGAATTAACCCATCATGATGTTAGACAGACAAAATGATTGGGGGAAGCAAAAAGTCCTCAGTCGACCAGGAGTGGTGGTACATGCCTAAAATCCCAGTACTCAGGAGGCTGAGTCAGGAGGATCACCATGAGTTCGAGGTCAACCTGGGCTGCATAGTGAGTTCAAGGACAGCTCGAATCACAAAGTGAGATTCTGCCTCAAAAAAACAAAAATCAGGCCTAAATTGGGAGATTAGCTCTATATATATCTTTCATGTACAGATTGGTGAGCTTTTCCATATTCCCTTCTGAAAGTTTTGTGTGAAACTAAAATAATAACAACAAAATTCAAAATTCCTGGCACATAGTGTTTATAGGATTAGTTACCTGATTCCCACTTCTTTATCATAAAGGAAGATGAGAGATAAGTTAATAAATAACTTAAGATCTAATAAATTAAGATCACATTTGAAGTATCTTTCTAGGCTTGGAGTCTGAACAAGTAAAACATCTATTTTTAGAGGACATGTAGGTAGTTTTTCTGGATAGCGTTTTCTTTCGAATTTTTCTTCTGAAATAGACTCCAGGTAAAAGTGTTAGTGGAATTCTTAAGAAAAAAATAAGGAATTTTTATACTGCATTTCAATCTCTCTCGATTCGAGGAAATTGTGTTAGAAAATGCTTGCTCTCCAAGAACTCACAGCAAATATGTATCCAATTTTAATACAACACTATAAAACTGTCCTGGAAAGTTGAAAGTAGTTAATAACAGACTCTGGGTGGGAAAAACACTCTCTAGGGTTAAACTGATTTCCCATGGGAAGAATCGGGCTTAGGATTCCTGGTCCTAAGCCTTTCTTATGGGAAACGAGTATAAGGCCATTAAATTTCTTATCATACAACCACGCCGGCCTCCCCAGGACACATTCATTGAATCGCAGCACGGTAATCACTGTAGAACTAATGTAAAACATCCCCTGTTTCATGCTCAGTGTGATATTACACCTTCACTTGTTTCTCTCAGAAGGTTAAGCTTTTGAGAGATTTCATGGCCCCAACATGGGCTTTTAAAGGCATATTATTCTGTCATATTCTATTAAAAAAAATACTGGAAGAACTTGGAAGAGAAGCAATCTTTTTGGACCAATTTGTCAAATAATGAGCGTTCAAAGCTCTAGTTATCTCTTCTTCTAAAACATTCTGTTATCCCTCAAGGATAAATTTTTCCATTTCTGATAAGGTCCTCGTCCAACCCAAATCACAAGCAAAGGAAGTCTTGAGGGGAAAATGTGTTTACTTGTTTTTCCACGTAACATCTTCAAAGAAATTTCAAGGAAGAAACAACAGATCCTAAGGATATCGTCCAGAAGTAAAAAAGAAAAAAAAAATCAGACATTTCCTCCTTCGTCTTCTTAAAACAACCTTTATCTCTGAGAAAATTGAATCAACACTCAAGATCCTACCTCCCAAAGCAATGTTTATCCCAGAGTTGTCCTTATTCGTCTAATATAAAGATCATCTGTGGAGTCGTTTTTAATACCCTCAAGGTTCACATTAAAGCCAGTTTAAAAATAATGTGCCATTTACATATGCTTTTACTAGATTGCAAGTCAAAAGCTCTCAACCCTTACACTCCCAGCAACAAAAGACAGACCCACATTATCGTAGGAGTTTGCTTCAGCAAGATACAGCTCTGGGCTTCAGAAGCAGATATGTTTCTCCTGGTGAAGGGTTAAAAGAGGACACCAAACCACCCTCTGGAAGTCATTAAGTTACAAAGCCCCAAGAAGATAAAAGTTTCCATTTTCTAAAATGTAAATCAAAAACATATTCATTAGTATTGCAAAACAAACATGCAAATCTTCACCACTTGAAAAGCTCAGCTAAATATGTACAAGGGCTAAACCCCAAAATACATCTGGTCCTCCGTTACAGAACTTGCTTTTTTGGTTTTATCTAAAGAGTTTGTCTGTCTTCCATGGTTGGCTTCTTGGATTATTGCAATTCATAATAAGCCTTTTAGCTAAGGATGAAATAAACAAAGATAAAGTCTATGTCCTAGTTTTAAATGGTCCAGATGGGATGATTTTTCCATATGTTTAGCACACCCAATGTTTATTAATCACTGTAGCAGAGCTTGGAGGGTTATTGGGTTTATTGCCTTGGGAAGGGCTGAAATTTACAGTTTGTATAATCTCTGCACACCTTTCGAGTGTTCTGTCCTCTCTGGATTGTTCTTTGTGCTTTATTCAGGTTGGATATGATTCCAAATCTGGGCATGCATGTGTCTGTGCGTGTGTGTGTGTGTGTGTGTGTGTGTGTGTGTGTGTGTGTGTGTGTGACATATTATAGGGTAGAGTCTCTCAGCCAACTGATCAAGGGGAGGCTTTTGTGCCCAAATTTGGATAAAATATCAGTCTGCAGGAATGTGTTACATCATAATAATGACAATGTGGGTAAAACTGGCGATACTTGACTCACTATCCCGTACAGTGATTTACTCCGTGTCTGGCAATCTGTTTTTCATATGATGTTTGTTTCTCGTAAACAGTTTCAACATGGGAGAGTATGGTGTCAAGATAACAGTCCTATCATTCGTCGTTGCAGAAGAACAGCCATGGGGCTTGCCAAGAAACTAAGGTTCTTTTATCTCTGGGCTTCTTACAAGGTCTTGTGTTCTGGTGATTGTTTCCCAGCCACACGCTGTATTGCTCTTTGAAACCTGACCATCACTGCCTCTGTTGTTGTTTCAGCATATCACCGGTGCAGTGAAGTCCCCGGCCAGCGGTCAGCATGGCGAATGGTAAGAGGAAGAGAAAGGAGGAGGAGGTTGTGGGATCCAGTGCAGCCACCCAGAGGGGAGAACTTGAGATTCTGAGTTGGAGGAGCAACAAAGATGCCCCAACTTTTTTCCTGTCATTTTTGAAGTGGGAAGAGTCTTAGATCAAGTAGGTGGCCTTCATTTCCATAAGGACACCAAGCTCCGCAGCATATTTTTCGTTGCAGAATGGTTAAAACATCAATGTGGGGGGTGAGGAGGGAAAAACCTCCATCTTTTTATATCACAATCACAAAGCCTCCCCGTCGATCCCACGGAATCTGACAGAAGGTTCCCATATTTGGAACACCCCCTAAAACTTGGAAGGAGAAAAAAGGGGGGAGATATTCTTTAAATTTTCTTTTAATAGAATTGGTTAAGACAGTTAATGTAGAAAATGTTCTATTAATCATAGATGCTTTTTATAGTATTTCTACATGGGGTTTGAGATGTGGTTTTATATCTTCCCCAAACAGAAGAATGGAAGACTGCTATAAAGCAAAAGAATAGACAGCTGTGGGCTCCAAAAACTGAATATTCAGTCATTCAAAAAAGGCTTTGAAATCACTCTGCCGGAGTCTTGTGTATAATAATTAAGCTCTGAACAAGTGTCTTTTATGATATCCTACCCTACGCTGTGGGCCCATGACATTTGGCCCTGTACAATAAAATATAGAAATAGTGCTCAGAAACCAGCATCTTTCAAATGTGTTACCTAAAAGAGCAGCATTGTGACCATTATGATGGAAATGATCTCACTAGATCTTGGGATGTCAATTCAATGACCCAGACAATCACCAGATATTCTGGGAAATCTACACAAAGAACCTACTTCTGGTATCTCTTCTTAGATTGGATGGACAGGGGAGCCATCCCTTAAAGCATTGTTCTCAGGCAAATTGGCACCCAGTTTCCTCCAAGGTGATAAACTAAGCTCCTTTCCTGTATGGTTTTAAAAAAGAAAAGTAATGTGACCAACAACGGAAGAAAAATATTGTTCCTTTCAGGAATCTGATGAATAGAGAGCATATCTCAGAAGAAAGAGGACTTACCACCTAGAGTGTAGCCATCTTCTGGGAATTTCCTACAGTGGAAATGAAGAGGAATCCTGGAATGTCAATATTGAGCAATCTTTAAAAGACTATAATGCACAGAAGTGGCTAAGCTTTAGGTTTTGGCAGAAAAGTCACAGGGAAGACAAATCTCTTTTTGAAAAGAAATGACCTTTAGGCAAAGGAATATTTTGTCATCCCTGACTAGCACATAATTTGGAAATTGAACCCATATTCATGAGCACTCTCTAGACAGCTTCTATTCTCAAAGTTATTATGTATGCGGATGGTTCATTCAGAAAAACTGGGTAATCAGGATAACTCAGCTTTCTTCTTGCTGAATAAACAGCTAAACTCAGAAATTATTCAAGCAAGAGCAAATTGTGAAGGGATGGTCGGACAGTGTCTAAATAACTCAGTCATATAACTATATCAAAACGTCATCACCAGTGATCTCATGGTCTTTGCCACAACACTTAGATCCCTGTCCCAATTTATGCTAATATATACCCTGAATCTCCCTGAAGTTCAAAACCTCTGAGTTTACAAGTCTTACCCACCTTCCCTCAAAATATGTACTCTCTCATCCAATTCCTCTTTCATTCCCCATCATGCCATTCCGATCCCAGCTTTCATTTCCCCAGATTACTATAATAGCCTTCCGAATATTCACCTGTATTCATTTCTAGCCCATCCCAGTAATCTGTGCCGTGGACCACTATCCAAAGTAATTCTCCTGAACAATTTCAGGAGACCAAACATTTTCCACTGACCACGGCAATAGGACAAAATGAAGTTGAGGACACAAAAAGCCCACTGTTACCTCACCCACTACCCTACTGACATTCAGCCTTACTTCCCTTCATCGCGCCACATTAGTTTCTAACTCTTCACCTCTGGTTTCTCTTCTCTTTGCCTGAGAAAATCCTCACCAATCTCAGTTCTAGCTCAGGTCCCTTCTGCTACACAAGACCGTCTCTCCCCCTGCCAAAGTCCCACCAATGCCCCCTTCTCTAGACCACTAATACTAAGTCTGATTAACCATTCCGCAAATCCAAAGACATAGGCGTATATTGCCTTTATCACTACTAATAGTTTCATGGATGTATTTTTTAATTATGTGCTTTCAAATAACAAGGATTATTTCTCAAAGGCACCAGTACTACACTGAGTATGGAACGGACAGTGTTAGGTGCTTGCTCTACATTATCTTGAAACCACAAACTCCATCGTTACACTTCTGCCTTGCTGACACCATGCCTGGCAAAATGAATAAGTAACACAGTTCTCTGGGCTCCAGCACCTAATTCAACATTTAGTACCAATTTTAAACATAATTCAAATGCAACACAGAAAGTCCTAAATATTTTGACATGAGGGAGCACCACTGTCAATGGTCAGATATATGATTCTGGTAGAAGGAAAATATTCTCATCTCAGAATTGGTTCACCAAATTTTGCTCGTGTGTTTTGTGTTACACAAATGAGCTGTTGTGGTACTTCACTACCTTACCACGATTTTGCGCACTTGTTAGGATTTCTGAGGGGACTAGCTCGAACTCGGTTTGCGTGGTCATTTTTGTCTCATGACGTTCCTAACTCGATTACACCATTTAATAAAGTTCTTCTTATTTTCCCACACTTTCCATAGATTAGTTTAATCTGGGTAGACATATAAGGTTCCTCAAATCACTTCCACTGCTTTTCCCATTATAGATGTTGTTTTGATCATGAAAGAACCTGTCAGTCTCTGTTCCTATAGAAGAGCATCTCACTGGGACCACCATGCTGCTTTCTGACCAGCAAAATAAAAGGAACACAGAAGCTCAAGCTCTTATAGATTTTTAAGCAGAAGTCAGAGGTCTGGATGGTCCAGGTCACTCATCTACGCAGGAAAGATTATCCAGAGAAGCCCCACTCTGCGCTTAACCAAAGTTTTTTCAGAATAGGCAAAGAGTGTGGAATGCCAACTGAAAGGAGAAATTATAAAGCCAAACTTGGCCCAGAGGGAAAGATATTTTATCCTGCCACATTTTTACATTTGCATACATGGCACCCTTCAAAGCCAGGAGTTTATATTTTCCCACCAAGGCTCAGCATGTGTGAAAAATGCTTTCCAAGAAATGAAGACTGGCTAAGATGCAAATGCAAATGTGGGTTTGTGGGCAAACGTGCAGGATAACCTAAACTGAGATCTCTCCCTCCAGAGCTTGCATGAGCTTGGTAGTGACCCAGGTCTCCTTCCGATAAGAACTTTGAAGCATTAGTCCAACCTGAGATCAATTTAACAACCTCTAAGTTCAGAAAACAATGGTTGAAGGAAAGAGTCCCTCAAAAAGCAAACTCATTTCTCAATAAAGAATATTCTATGGTATTTAACTGGGGAAAGGGGAGTTGTGTAGGAGATAATACACTTAAGACTGGGAATTATTTGCTAATTCATTCTTTCTATGAGGAGGATGATGGTCCCTGTGGCCAAAAAAAAAAAAAATCTACAACCTCTCATTCCATGACTGCTCTCTTTTCCTTGGAAAGGAAACAATACTATGATTTTCTAGTGACTTCTCACTCTAAAAGAGTTCTCAAAGTAAAGATATAGACAGACATTCTCATGTTATAAGGGGTGATCAGATTTCCCTGTTGCTTTCTCTCCATACTATACCAAAAAAGGTTTGCTGTAGTTTGTCATACATATAATAGGTTGAGATCTCACAGGCTCTAAACTTGTAGCACATATCAGAACCGGAAGCAAGTAGCCACCATGGGCTAGAAGAAGAGGAAGCTTGGGAAATTGCCACACTAGACTCCATCTTTCCAAGCTGCTGGACCTTGACCCACATGATCTCATCTCTGAGCAACGGAAGATGATTTATGCCCAGTGGCACTGACTCCTTCTTTTCTGCGTCTTTGAAAACAAAAGAAAAAAGATGTCCAAGAGAGACTATGTGGAGATTTGAAATTTATTTAATGCATGGTTATTTGCCTACATGTGGCCTAAGCCTGTTTGGTACAAACTGCCAAGAATCTTCAGTGGTTCCCAGGAAACTCCCCGCTTTGGCTCCACTGCCCTTACTTTTATGTATCATTCTAATTGTTCCAATGAGATGCTGCATAGTGAACAGCCAGGCGCTGATAAACCAGCAATTTTGCCAACCTGGATTTGAAAAACAAATAAGAAAGAAAGAAATATTCCCTATCAAAGTAAAATGTCTTTTCAGTGGTAATTTTACTTTTAACTCTTCTGCAAGTAACATTTTATTTGGAACAGCTTTGGTTGCAGAACATGAAATATGACAAAAGCAGGCATTAGAGAGTGGCATTGTTCCCCCAGCCCAGGGCCCTAGGAAGTAAACAAACTTCTCTGTGGTGTGGTACAGAGCCAGCTCATGAAGAGAAAGCCAAGATCCTGAGTGAAGGCAGAGCTCACAAAACTGTTCCCTTTATCAAGATGAGATTTCAAACTCTCAGATTTAAAGCATTTGCTTTGGTTTTTATTTCTCTTAGACCAGCAGAGGAACGTCTCACATGTTTTGCTTTGGGTGTTAATTACTGTGGGGAACTGACACTTCACGTAGATTAGCAAACTCTGTTAACAAATAGGAGCTTTTTGTCAAGTACTTACTGTGTGCACAGGGTCCGGTTAGACTCTCAAAGAACACAAAAGACTGAGGAATATGACTTCACCCTGAGTTTCTCATTCAACTAATAGCAAGCAGAGATGAGAGATAGAAACAATGAAATACAAATTAAATATCAAAATATGCCCCCAAAATCAGTGCTTTAGGAGGCAGAGAAGAGCCTGGGTCAGTTAAGAAAGGCTAAAGAAAACATGAGATTTGTGCCAAACCTGAAAAGGAAGAAACTCAGACCAGTGGCAAAAATAAGACAGGCCTTCAGAGCAACAGGAAACATAGTTCTAACATTACAGTTACAGCTTATTCATAATTTTATTTTCCCTAGATCTAACTGAAAACTATTTAAATATCTTTATTTATTGTTGCTACTCTAAGGGAAATTGCCTTTGGATAACCAACAATTAAGATGGACTAAGATGGATTAAGATGACCGAGTCCATCTTAGTGAACAATTCTGTAGGTGCTAATGGGCACCACCAGAACACAAAAGTGATACAAGTACACACTGATGATAAATAATCAGGACTAAAGAAGAAACACAATGCCTGTGCTGTCCATTTTGATCATCATTATACCCATGACCTTTTGGCTCACCTCATCAATGCCATCTCTAGACACATGAGTAGGATTCTCCTTTTTTCTGAAGGGTCTCTAACGTGTCCCTTCGGTTCTTCTGTAAAAAGAGCAGAGCACACTAAGCAAGATTGAGCAAAGCCCAGCATTGTGACCTTCACTCATTGACAAAAAACCTGAGGTCATGAATTAGCAGTGCGTTGACAGGGTGGCTTCAGTTTCGAGAGGATAGACAGGCAAATGAGTTCCAGTCTGTCTCTCCAAGCAACAACAATTCACAATAAAAATTATACAATGTTCTAAGGAGTCATCGAGCTAGTCAGAAATTAAAAGAACTATGTGCACACAACTTAATGAGCAGATTTATTAGGGAGAAAGGCAGATTTATTAGAGGGAAATATACAGCTGAAGAAGGAATTATTGAG